CACGGTCTGTACACGCGCGTTTATCTCGCACAGTGGAAGACGTATCGCGATAAACGCGGGACAAACGCGACCGCGATATGAATTTACGATTTCGCCAGGGCTGGTAAATCGGCGTGATATAATTTTCCAGGGGAATTAGCAGCGGTTTTTTATGCCGTGGCTACGCAAATCACGCGAAACGAGTACGCAAGCTGTCGCCAGGCCGGCGATTCAAAGAGTTAACGGTTGTAATTCTATGAACGCCGCCGCACAACTCCGCCGTTTGTAATTTGTAATTTTCACCGGCGAATGCATAGAAAATTGCACGCTGCCCGGGGAAACATTTGTTTCGCGATCTCCATACTGGATAAACGCACGGCGTGCATGCGTGTGTGTATGTGTTTTATCGATGCCGGAAGCTGATGACCTTTCAACGAACGACCACCAGCAGTCTTTCCCTCGATTAAAATACAAGCTTATCGCTAAAAATTAACAGGCTTTTTAAAGCGCGCGTGTGAGTATAGTAAATGGGTATTCGACGATCGGAAAAATTCCACTCGAATTCACCGTGGAAATTCGACGTGGCGCGATATATATCGTGAAAGGGAAAGAAAGAAAAGGGGACGGAGGAGACCCTTCGTCCCCTTTTCCGGGCGAAAAATCGGCCAAAAGTTCATGTATTAAAAGTACCTACAAGGCCAATAAATTAGAACTGGCGCTCTGCCATTTCAATCTCGCGGATCTTGCCCGAGACAAGAACGCTGAAAACTCCTCTACGAGCCATCATTCCGTCGCCGGTGGACTTGATTAATTGGCCCGTCGTCCGTGCGAATCGATTGATTGTTCCCCCATCGACAAAATCGAAGGAGCATCTGTAAATGATCGCGAGAAGCTGCGACGCGGGACAGGGAAAAGAAGTGTAAACGTCGTGAAAATCAATATCCTTTGTAGGGAGCACCGAGGTTAACGTCACACAGGCCGCCTATCCGTACGAGAATTTTTTCGTTTCCGCGGAAATCCTCGGGTTAGCACAAGGTTACCGTGCACGGAATATTCTACTCCCCGGGATCAGAGAGGAGAGGAAGTCTCGCTTAAAGGGGCGAGCTTTGTCCCGGTTTTATTCCACCGTTACGTGAATTGCACATATTAGGTAAGTGTGGCGTTGCACAACTGCCGCTCCGCTGGCTGCGTTCCGTTAAAATTGCCGCCCCAACCCTGCGTGTCGTGCACCGCGACCAACGCTGGCCACGAGGGTGCCAAGGACGCGCCGCGCTGTGGCAAGGGTTCGGGACCACTTCAAATTGTACCCACTATTCAGATTCTTCTCCTTGTGGAAACAATCTCTGCTCCGCCTCGCTGTTCCATCGAGTATCCTCGAATAAATTGCCTCGATTCTAACGTCCATCCTCTTTCACAATATAGAAACACCCCTTTATTTTCCTTCCTTTCCTTACTTTTCTTTTCTCTTCTTTTTCTTTCATCTAAACTGTCCTTACGACAACAAAGAGTTACACCGTGGCTTTTTCTCCATCCGCGTAATCTGACATTTACACTATGCAGTCTCGGTTTAGCTGTCGTCAGTCCACTTTCACTACTTGTACAATTTAACGTTGCACGAGTAAAAAGTGTCACGTTTGTTACACTACGTATGGAGGAAGTCCTCGTGATGTAACCTTGATTTCATAGTAAAGACCCTTGACTGAATCGCCGGAGGCCTGGATCGGATTGTATCGCGTAGGAAAAATACGACGGTGCATCCGAATCATGGAGGATAAGGATCTGTATAGAGGAAAATGTCGCATTAGGGTCGAACACGCGATGATCCAACGATTTTACTTCGCGTCCCGAGGACGCTCTCGATCTAAATCGTCCACTTCGGGTAAATCTGTTTTTCTAACGCTTATTAATATCGCGGGAATTAATTGGAATTCGAGAAGAAGTGGGTCTCGAGCTCGTTATATATCTTTTTCTTTCTTTCTTCTCTTTCCCCCGACGCGCGTTTGATCACAACTGGAAATTAATATCGAGATTTCTCTGGGTGTCTTTCTTCCGCGGGGCGAAATCTCGCCTTAAAAATCAATTTAATTAGAGAGGAGGCGCGAGTTTGTTCGTGAGAGAAACAGCCAGAGAGAGTGAGAGAGAAAGAGTGAAGAGAGGAAGAGGGAGAAGGAGAGGAGCGCTTTTAGCGCTCGTCGATCGATTTTAATTCGCGTTTTCGTTGATACGTTTAAATCGGGTCTCCCGGCACGTAGGTATGCGTGTCAGTGCACTCGTGACCCATCTCGTTCTTCGATGACGTCATTCCTTGCTGGCGTAAACCTATGACGAATATGGCGGGCTGAAACGGGAGTGGCAGGGATCTTTTAACCGGCACTTTACCCTCAAACGTCATCACGACCAGTTCCCCATGAATCTACGAATGCGCATATACAAATACATCCCCTCGCCCCCACATAAGCCCGATAGCTGGAAATTCTTACGGAGACTCAAAATGAACTGGAGAATTCACGATTGATCGAACAGATCACAGGGAAGCAATTAACCACGATCAGATTCTGTCGTTGGTTCTTGGACGTGGAAACTATTGAAAGGAAACTATTCAGAGGCAAGCTTTTGCTGATAGATACTCGTGGGCCAAAAGTTGGATTCGTGGCACTCCGGTTCGGGACGCGTTATTTATTTACCGGAGAGAGCGTGCCACTCGCGTGTGCACGGCTAGCGATCTCGCGTGAACGGACCGCGTCCCATGCATCATTGTGGTAAATCGATAGACGATAACGGAGCAATAATGTATGTGCAAAAGATAGATTCCAGGGACATGCAAGGTGAATACGCTTCCTCCCTCCATCTTCCCGCTTTTCTCTTGTTAGACGAGGTGAAATAATTACCTAGATCAGGGACCAACACTCGCTGGAAACGACGCGTTCGTGCACGTGTCATGCAGAGCATCACACGCGTTGGAGGGAAATCGTTGGTCCGCAACAGGCAATCGTGTGCAACCGGAACACGCCATGCCAGCCTGCGAACGATTAACGACCGCGTCCAACGAACGAGCTGAGAAAAGACGCGAGAGGAGAGAGAGAGAGAGAGAGAGAGAGAGAGACAGAGAAAAAGAGAGAGATAGAGTGAGACAGTCGAAGGAGTTGGGACGGGCACGAAATTACAGGATCGCGTGCCAGCAAGCATAAATCAGGAAGGAAGCGATCGAGCATGGCCGGAGGACGTTTCTCGCGTCGAATTTCCTCTTTCGTATTGATGAGCAACGACAAACACGGTGTGGTCAAACGCGAGAAACGATTTACTGCGTAAAGATGGAGAGATAAATGGGTGACGAGGGTAGTAAATGGATAGGTGGTTGGCAAACAGAGAAACAGATAGACAGGCAGGCAAGCAGGCAGGCAGGCAAGCAAGAGAAAAGACGAGAAGAGAAGAGCAGGTAGGCAGGAAAATAGGCAGGCGTTACCTCGCTTGGACGTGCTGTCGGCGCTGCTAATAAATCCAGGTACGGCAATCACGAGAACAAAGAGTCCACAGTGTAGCCAAAACATGTTTACGTCTTAACAACATTGTTTAATTCCATTTTACATAACGCTCGTAAAACACTACTACGATGGCGGTGGTGCTCATGTCGCGCATAATCAGCGATACTACCTGGTCGCCGGTCGGATCATCAGTACACGACTGACTGACTGGGTTAGACGCGGTGGGTAGGAGCTTTCAAGCGAGCGAAAAGCGACAGAGAATCGAGAAAAAGGGAAAGAAGGAGAGGGAGAAACGTAGAGATGGAGAGAAAGAAAGAAATTGAAGCGAGGCGAGACAGAGTATGAGAGAGTAAAAGAGAGAAAGAGAAAGAGAGAGAGCGCGAGAGAGCGAGCAAGAGAGAGAGAGAGAGAGGGAGAATCAAAGACAGAGAAAGAGAACTAAAGAGAGATCGAGCCAGAGAGATGGAATGTAATCTGGATGGAATAGAAACAGTAATAATAATAATAATGAAAAATGGGGTGTAGAGATAGAGAGACAGAGACGGAAACAGAGACTGAGAGAAGAAGAAGAGAAGAGAAAAAGTCGAAGGCTCGCGGCGATAGGAGGACAAACCGGCAAACCGACGGTACAGAACGCGACCGGTCCTCCTAGAACATCGCGAATCTCCTGGTACACTGGACGACACGCGATAATGCACCACGCTAGCGCACTACTTCCGCGATCTGGCCCGTACGTCGAAGGATACCCCCTACTCGCGCGCGCCCAGAGAGAGTGAAGGTCCCGATCTCGAATCACGCCTCGGCTGCCATCTTCTACCTACACCGGGAGTCTGGAGTATGAAAATATTCTCTCTCCGCCGCCTCCTCCCCCTCTCTGCCCCTCTCTCCTTCTCGCCCTCTCTCCCTCTCCCACTCTCACTTCCTCTCCCTCTCTCTTTCCATTCTCTCTCTTGCTCTCGTGCACCCGCTCCCTGTCCGTGTGCTCTGTGTGCGCGCCCACCCCACCCAGGCCACCCCTTCTCGCCTCGCGTTCACCCGCGCCGTACACCCGCGCAGAGCCACCACCAGGCTTGGGACCACCTCTTATCGATTCCTGCGCCATTTCCCGTCATTCCTGTCAAATCAATAACGCGCTGCCGGCGGTGGTGGTGCCGCTGGTCCTAGTGGTGGTGCTGCTGCTGGAGCTGCCGCCGCCGCCACCGCCGCTGGAGCCGGCTCCTTCTTCGCCACGGATCAGGCGCCGATACAGAGATGCGAAATCCCCAGCCGAGCGCACCCTCGCCTCCTCCCTTCCACCGGCTGGATCACGAACCACCGCTACGCGCAAAGATGGGACACTGGCCGCCTCTCACCTGCATCCCTGGACCTCTTCCACCTCCTCATTCTCCTCCTTCTCCTTCACTATGTTGCCCCGGACGTTGCCCCATGATACCGAATTTCCAACGTCGACCTTCTCTCCTGTCGAGTGCACCTTCTCCTTCTTCCTCTTCCTCTTCGTCCTCTTCCTCCTCTTTTTCCTCTTCTTCTTCTTCTTCTTCTTATTCTGCTTCTTCTAGTGCTCTCTATGTATCGTGTATCGATTTCGAAAAAGGAAACCGACCACCACTTGGACACAAAGGTCTTCTGAGGACGAGTCGGGGAGGAAAGGGTTGAGCAGGCTTATTCATGAGATCGAGTGCCTCTCTATTCAGGCTGGCTCTCGGTCTAACGAAATTCCGTCTCTGCTGCGCTAAATTTACACGCGATTATTTAAAACGGATGTCAACCTTGCCACGTCCCAGAAAATTTATTACGCGATCGTTGGTTATGCTGCGCGAGTTACGCAAAGCGTGCTTGCAATCAACGCTGAAAATACATTTGTATGTACCTCTTCTCCGGTCAACGACGCACCCGGCCAATTAAACGAAATATAACTTTTTTTCGATTGTTCGTAAACAGCCTTTCTTACGCTGGAGAACAAATATTGTCATGGAAACTTTGGAAACCAGGTCTCTGCGCACTCTCGCGTAGAAAGTGCGTGCGATAATTGGCCCGAGAATTCCAGTTTCCCCCCATATGGAATTTCCCTTTTTCTCCTCTTGTTGCACAAATTCGCTTATTCTACCACAACCGGGAGCATGAAATTGCATTAGAAACGGTGCAACTCCAGTTTTCCGCCAATCCTCCAACTCTTCTTCGCCTCGCTATTTTTCCCTATCCTTGAACTTCCTCAACTACTCGAGGATCGGCCTCGATCCTCGGCGAAACTTTTAAGATCAGCCTAATATTTATCATTCTACGCGTTTGTTCTACCATGTTGGTACGTAGCCCAGATATAAATAGTCTCCTATCGCGAGCAGCATCGTTCGAAGAATAACCAGCCGCGACAATCTAAATACGTAGAGGTACACGTGAATGACTCTTTCACGAGTCTTGAATGTGATCCGCATGCCTGGCGATCCACAGCCCCGGGCATGCCTCGCTTCTCTTCACCGTCTCGTTTCGCAAATACGCCCAAGCACGGAGCTACCCTGTAGCTAGACAGGTGTACGCGGTCCGCCTATCGATACGTCTAACATCGTTCGACAATTTCAGACCGGAGGGAGCTTGTTATACGCGTCCTCCGATGCATTTGTCAGCTCCTCATCTTCCGCTACCGTGAAAAATGTCGGGCTAGCCGACGAATTATCATTGCACTCGGAGGAAATTAAAACGTCTGAGCCTGTACGGGACGCGGAAGAAACCGTGGGACGTCGCTTGATGCATACTAATTATCCTCGATCCAGAGGAAAAAAACTGTTTGAAACTATTCTATCGAATAGTCGGTAGGGGGTCCTCTGACCAGCCAGCCGCTCGGTGGGGGCCGCTGACGGGTCTAATCCTCGAGTATGTAGTCTTTTCCGTAGCCTCTGTGACAAACGTAAGACAAGCGATAAGCAACGTGAAAATAGAGAAAATTCGACGAGGCAATTTCCGCGAACGCGAATTGGCACGTTCCATTGTCGCGGACGCGGTGATTAATAGACACTGGAGGAAATAACAATCAGATATATCGCGGCAAACAGTGGAATAGCCAGCGTGAATTACGACTGCAAGTAACACGCGTTCGCACACGCGTCGATATGCACGTGTGTACTTATGGGATATGTATGTATTATGTAACAAGTTATTCGACAGCGTCCTAAATGACCCGAAAAGAGGGAAAAACACGGTACGAAAAAATCGAGAGTTAATGAGCAATTGTGCGAAGGATATCACGAACTGTCAGGCCATCCATCAACTAACCGGAAAATTAACTTCCCGGGTGCTCTTGGCCGCCTTACAAAACTGTTTACGCAACTGAATTCGTTCGAACAAACAAACAAACGAACGAACGAAAAACACACGCAATTCTCCTTTACCTAATTCTCAGCCATTTTTCATCCGAGACTCTAAGGAGGCACTTTCACCCCGTAAATATACGCGTTGAATATCTTCGAAGAAAAACCACGTCGTATACCTAAATATACGTACATGTATGTATAAACACAGGGTAAAACAGTGTGGAAACGAAGGGGTTAAATTTGGAGTAACTTGGCAAGTAGAGGCGCGCAATTAATGACCGTTCCATCAGCATCGAATCGACTCGGAGGCAGGAAATGAATTTTGCAGCAACACGTACCTCTACAGAGGTGGTAACTGCTCGTCCCGTTGACTAACGAAGTGTAAATCAGAGAAGAAACGGCCAAGTTCCGCATTAGGTAGCGGTGCTCCCCTGTCTGTTATTATAAATTATGAGATAGAGTGCCGATGCGAGTGCGGTGGTAAGCATGCAAACCGCGAGTACCCTAGTTGCATCTTCGCGGTCAACGATCTTCTGACGCAGTGCGGATGCTTAAAAATTTGTTCGGCGATCACTCGAGCCTCAGGTATATCTACCGCAGGTATCCTACCTAGAGGACGGACGACGTACCGGAACGTTTCTTTCAACATTTTTAACCGGTAACGCCGGGCAAATAGCTCGATCGTATCGAGTATACTATGCTGTTCAGATAGACAGCGGTCGACTGTAGATGTGTGGCCGATATCAGAGCAGAAACCAGAAAGCGAGTGTCGCCACGTGGAGCAAGGATACGCGACACGTGCCAGCGAATAAATCGGCCGCTCGTTCGTTACTTCGCGCTCCTCGCGGGCTTCTTCGCTGCCAGAGCGACAAAACTTTCGTCCAAATCTTCGCGGCACTTCGTCATCTGTTCCGCGCCATTTCCTTTATTTCTTCTCTCTCTCTCTCTTCCCCGCTGTACCGCTGCAACTTTCGACGATTAACTTTTTTCGCACGAATAAACACCGAGAGAACGATGGCGTTTGCGTATCGATGATTCCCTTGCAAAAATAAACTGCGTTATTAGCCAGCTGCGCCCGTTTCGACGGACTTTACGCTTCGTCGCCTGCTTCCGCCTCGTCTCCCGTCTCCCTCTTCACCTCCAATCACCCACCCCCGTATTTATTTTTTGTCACTCTTCGAACTCGAATAAATTTTACATAAATCGAACAGAACCGGCGGATCCAGTTGAATTTTCAACGAAAAGTTGTAGGTGATTAATTGGCAATTATCAGAAGAACGGTGGACAACACGGTGGGCAACGCGTGATAAATATTTATAGGGTTCGGGCGTATTAAGCTTCGAATTGGTGCGCGCGGCTACCGGAAAGGGTTAGGTTCAGCCTTATCCAGCCACTTTCTCGTGGACGATAATGGGCTCGTTTCGCCGGCTAAAATCTTAGGCTGCAATCAATTTACTTGAAACTGGTCTACGTGCGCGATTCACCGAGATAACCGCGCCGCTTCTAAGCCTGCACCGGCTTTCTCGAGACGAGAGAGAGTGTAGATAGAAGGGACACCTTCCAGGCTAAGTTTTCTGAAAATGACTGACGGCGGATTATCAGATCGTCGGGAGTTTCCCTCGTAAATTATTAAGACTCCTCGACTCGACGTCTGCCATCGTTCTACCATCCCCCGAGTGTGTGTGCGTTGCTGCCTCCACCTCTTCCTCCTCCTTCTCTTCCTCTTCGTTCTCTGTCGAACGATCAACATTCCTCCTTTCGATAAATATTGACTTCTCTCTTCTCTCTGATTTATTTATTTATCAGCAACGGTATCTCAGCGAAGAAACAGCCTTCCGTTTATTCTCCATCGAATAATCGCTCGTTCGTGCGACGTAATTAAAGCTGACCAGGCGTTACACGGAACTCGTTCCGCTCTCTGGAAATTGA